GAAGGAAGGAAGGAAGGAAGGAAGGAAGGAAGGAAGGAAGGAAGGAAGGAAGGAAGGAAGGAAGGAAGGAAGGAAGGAAGACAAAACCTGTTAAGATGTTCCAGCAAGACAGCATTGAGCCAGCTTTAGCTGCACAGCCCTCTGGGAGAATGATAAGCTTTTTACCTCTTTGATGGTAATGAGAAACATAAAGATATTAAGTGGCTTAGCAGCAACATAAAGAGTCTGCCTTTGTCATGAGTGAGCAAAACCTCAGTCTCCTCTGTCAAGTACTGTCTGAACCACAAAAATGATCTATCATCTGTTTATAGAAAGTGTTTTCCCTTCCTAATACAGTTAAGCTACTGATGTTTAAGAACAGTGCTCCATAAGGATATATTTCTGTTTTTTCTCCACATTCACAGCCCCTGAAATACTAAACTAGACAATGCTAAAATACTCAACTAGACAATGGCAAAACATTTCCAGAGCACCCATGGCACTTCTGATGTGGGGATTCAGTGGTGGAATCATTCAAATTTGTACAAAAAGAAATAATGACCTTCAATTATCTTACAAGCCTGTACATGACTACTTCATTAGGGTCTACTGTGGCTATTTTGTACTCTTTGACTTTCTCTGATGCAAACAACAAATGAAATAACAGAGGAACCTGAGAGTCTCTGATATAACTGCTGATTTATAAATCCAAGACAAAACCCCCTGCTTTAAATGATGTTAATGACTAACCAGACAGAACCAAGAAAGTCTCTTTATTGTGAGACACTTGCTGGCTTTGACTGAAATTGAAAGTTCGAGTGTGTGTGTGTATGTGTGTGTATATGTATGTGTGCATTAAAAAGATGTATGAAAATCAGTCCAATTTTAGGGCACTCTAAAAATTCACTGGATTTTTTGGATATTAATTCAATTCTTTTCTCCTTGCTTATTAAGAGTTTGATTTTATGTGAACAGGCACGACACATCTCGCATTTGTAAAATGCATGGCATTTTACAAAGTTGTATACAGAAAAAAAGGACATACACTTAGAGATCCGATACCACTGTGCTCTGCACAGCACATTGATGAGCACTATTTATTCCTATCTACATAACAGAGCATCCCAGGACCGAAATGATAATGGTAGTCACTGTTGTAGGAGCCCAGTGGCCCTGGGATGGCACAGGGATATGTGTGTATGCCTCAGCAGGCTCACTGGTGCCTATGTGCTCTGAAACTGCCCTCAATTACAGCTGCTGGACCCAAGGACCCTTTGAGGCCATTATCTCTTAGCTGGTGTTCAGGCAGGCACAGGTTTAGGGAAGCAGGGATGTGGGATGGATGAGTGGAGCAACACATGGTATCCCCTGCAAATAGTAGAGTAATTCAGCACGCTTTTAGCAAAAATCCCAACCAGCAAGCTGTGCAAGAGCAGAATTGTGAAGCATTAGAAGCTGTCACAAGGTTGGGGTTTAAATGCATAGCTCTGGGTTGTAGGAGGGTAGATAAGCACCAGAGTGATACCAAAAATACATTCACAACATGGAAAGCGGCTGCTACATTTGTGCCTTAGCCAAAAGACAACTCCCATGCAAATGCAAAAGCACATTGACAGGTCCTGCCTGTTCCAAAAGCACAAAGGCAAACCAAGATGTTAAAAAAGGAAGTCACTTTGGGCTTTATACTGCTGAGCAGAGGTTTTCTAAAGGGAAAGACAAGTGAAAAAATGTTCACCCTAGGGGTTTTTTTTATTGATTTATTGATCTTTAATGAGGCTGTCTTTCAATGTTCTATTAGCCAGCCTTTATTACTGCACATTATCTCATTATTTCACTGCTGCTCTGCAATTTTATTTAGCTTCTCCGACAGTTTATTTCGTCTATAAACTACCTTCATCACTCACTACATTTGCCTAGCAACTATCTCAATTGTAGTATTATTAAAATAAATATGTCTAACGAAACCAAGATACTCAAATATTTTTTCGTTCCCCTTTTGCCACTGCAAATCCTTGACAGCTTGGAGACTCAAGCCTTTATCTTCTAACTCAGTGGAACTCGACAGGGAAATTGCTTCTGTGAAGTATTGAAAATTTGGTACATGTTACTCCACATGACTTTGGCCTCTACTCAGACACAACTTTTCCATGCTTAGGAATAATTTTTGCACTCTCAACTAGCAGCTGAAAATAAGCACCTCAGAGCTAATGCTCTGTGAAAACCCATCACAAATGGAGGACCTGAGGACCTGCTGCTGTGGTTTTTGCCAGATGCTCCAGATTACTGTAGATTTGCAACCCAACGTTCACTAAGCTGGTGCAACATTTGCACTCTGGCTTCTTAACTCCTCTGTTGCAGTCCTGTGCAGGACAACAGGAGTGTTGTCTCCTCACATGCTGTTGCCAAAGGCTCACTGAATGCTGTGGCACTGCTGTAGCCTTTTGCCTCTGTGGTGGAAGTCAGTGCTCGCTCCTGCTGAAAACCACACCAGCATGTAAAAATTGCTGCAGGGAACCATATCACTAGATTTTCATTTTCCCCCTCTTTCTTCCCTGTTTTCTGACAAACAGGTGTAGCCCACTACTCGTGATGCTGGCTTTCCTCAGATAGGCACTACACAAAGCTGTGTCTGGTTTGAAAGCCTGTAAAAAGCTAGAAACTCAAGAGGAGTTTTACTGATATAGGTAAATAAACTTAGACAAAACATTTGAAGCATTTTTATATTTCAGCTTAGTTTCAAGTGAACCTCAGGAGCTTGAGCTCACTGGCTTGTTTCGACCTGAGATCAGTAGAGCAATGAACAAACATACATAAATCAGAATTTAGACCAGCTCCAGTGAAACAAAACTTTTCCCAACTAGCAAAAGGAAGTTTTGAAAACATTAGAATAAAAGAGTCACACCTGCGATGTTTGATGCCAAATACCAACTGATTTAATATTTTCCTTTAAGCATTTTTTAAGTGCTAAGATCTCTAGAGCTCAGCTAGCTATTTATCTGGTATTCAAACACAGACAGATGGAGGCTAGCACATAGACCTTCATTTTCCCAAGATAACTATTTCACATTTACTAAAAAGAATCCATATTTCTTAACAACTGTTTCATTTTTTGGAAAAATATCAAGCCATCTGAACAAACCTGCGAAGGTGAACTGCAGCTGTTACTGATCACTCAAAGCCTAAGCACAGTGCTGGAGTGCTGTGGAAGCTAAGCAAGACCAGGCTACAGTTTTAGCAGCCTTGGTTTTACTTCCCCTCTTCCTCCTCTTGCCTATATAGGTGCACTATTCTCTCATATCTATTCTCAGCTCTCTCTTAGATTTTCATTAAAAACTTGCAAAATAACAGGAACTGAACCAAACTAGTAGACTAAAACTGAAGGCTTGGGCTTGATGTCCAGTCTTGGCTGTAGCCCAGAGGATTTGCTCAAGAAGCTGATGGTGGCACCAGTGTGAGGACCAGCAGTGAGCCAGAGAGGAGAAGTGCTAACCCAGGGTTCTCATGCCATGACTGGCACATGTTAGGACCACTGGTTAAAAGGCAATTGCTTCCCGGGCTACTTGCAGAAGAAAAATGGCTCAGATCCATCTTACATTATGAGTTTGACCTCGTACCACCTCAGCCAGAGAAAATGTATAATTCAGCGAGGAGAATCCTCTCTCTTCACATTGAATATTTATAGCTTTTGTTGTGAATTTTTTGTTGAGACAGAAGGGCTTTCAGTCCACTTGGAAAAGCAACTTTGCTGCTCTGCTGTCAGCCAGGCAAGTGTTTCTGTTTTGGGGATGGAAAAGGCAGCGTGAGAAGCAGCAAACTTTCATTTCAGCATTGCTGCAATCTGTGCTCCTGCCTTGGCATATCTCAGTCAAGCCTCTGCAAGCCCCTGGGCTTTATGTTGAGTGGTTCAGCTCCCAGAGAGCTCTCCTGGGGCAGGCCAAAGCCTTGTGTTTAGTGTCTTCCTCCAGTATTCTGTTTAGGTATCATATTTAGCTAAAGACAATAGGTATTCTTTGTAAACACTGTAATAACACTAATTAACTTTGTAAACACTAATAACACTCAATGTCTGCTCAGTTGCCAAAATTAATGACTGTATCCTAAACAGAGCATTAAAAAAAGATAAAATCAAGACAGTATTTTCTCATAGATTTATTCCTGAACTGTGGTTACACTGACAGTGGCTAGTGTACTTCCTAATGCGTAAAGCACTAGGAAAATAGCTTCAGTGGACATTAAATTTCTTGCTTCAAAAGAAGTAAGATGGTTATTGTGTTTATGTTTCTTTCTTCTACATTGTTGAAGCAATAGAGAAAACAGTTTGATTCAATTGATTACCTTGTGTTGTGGAAGCAGGAGCCAAATTTGCTTGACTTGTGAAATCCAGAGAGGCCACAGATGTCGACTGGTGCTCTAAAGACAGTTTACATGGTATCACATTTAGTCGATAGGTTCTCTAGAAAATAATGTTAATAAATCACAAAACAACCTAGATCAAAGAGCTTGCAGTAGCTGTTGGGTAAATGCAGGCTGTGCAGCAGAAATCCTGCTGTGGGAGTTAAGGCTAAACACTCAAAACACATTTCACAACTCCAGTGGGCACTTGCAGGCAGCTGATGTTATCAATGCTGACCCTTTCCTGCTGGCTGGCTGCAGGCATTGTTTATTTGTGCTTTTATACACAGGGTTCAGTTTGACTGCTGTGGGGTGGATCATGCACTTGAATGTGGTGCTCCCCAGCTAAGTCAAAAATGGTCCTTGACAAGAGGCCACAGCCATATCACCCCAGGAGATCACCTGCTTGTGTGAGTTTTCCTCTCAGTTGCTGAAGATAGTTTTATGTAATTATCCATATCCATGCTCTAGTAAAACAGAGTTAGTTATATAATTAATGAATGGGAATGATGCCCTGCTGTTGGATCGAGGAAAAGTGATGGCTTTAACTTTGCTATCACATGCACCTCTCTGTCACCATAGGACAAATTTATTTAGTTTTATAGGCATATTATTTCATTTTATAAAAATACATCAGAATGATATCTAATATTCAGCATGCCATTTTACGTGCTGTCCTAACAGGGCAGTGTCAGCAAAGATTTTAGCAAGATTTTTGTCAGATCTCTGCTTGGGTAACCTCACAGCTCACAAATTCCCAAGCAGCAGCATACTGGTGCTGTCAGTACCAGAGTACACTGACCTTTGCCTGTCACACCTCTGACTCTGTGTGCATGACATTTAGGCAGTGGTCAAGCAGAGATCCTACATATATTGAATATGTAATAAAGTATTTTTCCCTTTACCTGAGGCTGTCATAACAGCTGATGTAAGTGTTGAATTACCGAAGTCTATAACAGATCAAAGCAAACATTCAGCATGAGAAAGGAAATGGGTGATTGAAAAGGTTCAGGAACAAGAAAGTGTATCACACCTAATTTCCAAATAATCTTTCCATGCACAACTCAGCCAAGTAGTCCAGAAGGAAACATGAAGTACCTGAGGTAACTGTGCTGAGAAATCCCTAGGGAAACAAAGGTTTTGGGGGAAAAACTTTGGAGCCCCTGGCACCTCACCTTAAAAACCAGAAATGAATCACGTGGGTTTATTGCATACGAAGAGGTGCACTGTATTAGCACAGATACTGAGATAACATGTATGATCTGGTGGTGGCACCTGCACAGTTTCATCCATGCACTTCAGAGGCTGCAACTCTGAGAGGAAATTTCAGAGGCACTCTGCACTGAAAAGTGCTCACTTAGTCCTCAGAGAAGAGGAGGGGGAATTATTCCTTCTAATTAAAAACTATTAACCACACAGACAAGCTCAGCAGAAACACCATCCTGCCCAAGCAGCACATATGTCCTGAGATGTCTGTTTTCTTTCTTTTTTTTTTTTCCCAGCAGGAGAGGCAAAGTACTCCCTGAGTAGGCCAGGAGGATGGATTCCATCTCCCCAAAGAGGTCCATGAAGGAAGTGAGCTACTAAAGCTTACAAATTTAATTAGCAAAACATATCTGGGAAGGCAGGCAGAAAGTACCTCTGGTCAGGCACATGTGGAGGGTGTTGAGTGGGACTGGATCTTAGCACAGACAGGGAACCATCCACCCTGCAGCTGCTTTTCTGGGCTAACACTTGTACCTCCTTTGGCTGCTGCTCTTCCATTTGCATTCCAGCTTAGCCCTGCCTGTGCTCACAGGGATTTCACAGCAGCTGGGTGACATAAAGGACTCCTTACCAAAGATGCAACAGGTCTGAAAATCAGAGCAGTGGGGCTCTTTGAGATGTGCCTGGCTCCCAGAGAGCTCTGCAGAGTGTGCAGGTGAGGCAGGGTGGTGACCTGATGCAAGCTGCTAGGCTTCCCTTGAGAGTGCACCTTGCAGAGCAAAAAGCCTCCCTCTCTCAGGATCTCCCAATACCTGGGATGGTTTCCTGGTGCCCAGTGGGGTATTGGCTGAGCCCCCAGGGCCTGCCACAACCTGCTCTTGCAGAAGTTTTTCCCACAAAACCCATACTTTTTTCATGCCACCTACTTACAGCATTTCTCTGACACACTCATGTAGCCCCCTGCTAAAGCACAGCTGCCTCCAGTGCAGAGCAGAGCAAAGCAAACTGCCCCAGGAGAGATGTTTCCAAAGGACTTCAGCTGAGGTGTGGGGAGAACATTTATCTGTCTGCAGTAAGCTGATAATAAGACAAACTTGCAGGGGAAGAGCAGGGATTTACCAAGTTTACACAAATTAAGAAACATCCCTTCAGTTCTTTAACATGGCAAAATTGTTGAGGATCTTGGCTCTGTACTTAAGCAGAAGGTAGAACCATTAGCAGGGCTGTTATTTTTAATTATTAGTTCAGTACTGAAAGAGCTATATTCAAATGCCAGCTGAAGCATCAGAAATAACATTAAGTGCCCCTCAAGGCTGGAGTTTAATTATGCTTGGTTTTAATTAGAATAGATTACATCACCAAAATATTGGTTTATAGTATTTTCTCTGAAGTCAAAGCTGCAGAAAGGGGTTCATTACTACCCATTTAGAGTAGTAAATGCTAAAACAACTTTAGGATGCTATAAATGCACCTCAAACACAACCGAAGTTATTTTATTCTCTAATTTATCCTACCATCTAAAACCGTGGTAGTAAAAACTTCAGCTGAGGCTTCATTAGACTGATTGTCTGTAAAGGAAAAAAAAAAAAGAGAAAGATTAAAACAGTTCTTAAAAGTAGCTATAAAGGCTGAAAATTTAGTTTAGGCTTGTGTCATACTGTGCACCTTCGCAAGGTATGGCAAGGTATGGCTGAGAATGTAATCCTTTCCTTTCTGTCACATCTAAATACTTTAACATTTTTATACAGAGTGGATGTATCTTAGCATTAGCATAGTCTGCAGGCAAGAACACAGACTGCTTTAATTGACAGCTCTTGGATATGAATACATTTCTAGAAAACTGCAAACTGGGGGAAATTAGTAATTTTAGAGAAAAAAATTATTATTTATCTCCCTCCCACGTGAAGCTGTGTTTCCAGAGGAGTAAGCTGTGGCTTTTGCTGCAGTCTCACTTTGTGGAAAAACATATCAATAGGAATATACAGAGCCACAAGAGAACCCGGGTAAGCTGCAAGTAGTTGCCACAGTAGGTGACGTGCCCCTAGATGCTGCTAAGGGGTCAGCAGCTCACTTGTATTGTCTGTGCAGCAGGTAGCATACATAATTTTAAAAATCTAAGAAGATATAAATATGCATTTGCACCTGAAGAGGAGACGTACACAAGAGGGTGCTAAAGGAAATCTGTGTGCCCTTCTCACCAGCCACCCTGCATCCTCAGAGGCGCTGAAAACTGCACTGCCACGTCTCCTGCTTCCACCAAAAAAGTAGGACAGTATTTCTCCCCACTTCCCTGATCATATGGCTAATTCTTACAGCACAGTTTATGGGGGGTTTCTCCATTATCCACAGAGGTGCAGCCTTTTGCATGTTTTACTGAAGATGTCTAACAAAGCTCTGAGTCTGAGTTGAGTTTCTCACAAGTGCTCCATGAGAAACACATTATTTTATAGCTCACTGGTGCCATGTGGCTGTGCTAGAGTATTTTTGGGTATGGGAAGTGCAGCAAGATTCTGCCCAAACAAACAAGTGTCTTCTGTTTGTGCAGGAGTTTTCTTAGCTCATTCAGAAGCTTGAGCAAAGATTTGAGCCAAAAAACCTGCCAGAGAGTTCAAGCTGCATGATGAACTTGTACAATAAAGCTCCTATACTGCTGGCATTTCTTCAGTATTTTAAATAACAAGATAATACATATGTTTGGTGTTCTTAACATTTTAGATGTGACCTATCTATGAAAAACCTACCGAAGGAAACAAATATTTCTTCTGATGAAATATTCCTTGTTTCATTTCCCAGGAAGGGAAACAGACACACACACGAGAATGTCTTATGTGTCTCATGGGTCCTTTGCAGCATCAGTGTTGATCTCAACTCATAGAAACCTTCACTGTCTTGCAAGTCTTCTTGTACCACAGAAATTTCTTGGGGAGAGGAAGAAGAAAAGAAAAGAAAAGACCCTCTTGTTACACTCCAAACTATAAGTCAGAGCTGTGCAAAATATAGGTACTGGAAAGCAGGCTCATATAGATGCAGGTTTCTTTGCTCAGACACTGTCAAAGATTTGGCAAGAATGGTGTGGTCATGCCAAACCATATCTTCAGCCAGATAGACCCCTGCATGTTCCCTGTGGCAGGAATGGGTAACAGTCATGACTTTCCCTGGGCACCACTCCTGCAGCTGTGCTGGTTCCCTGTGCACAGGTTGCTTTACCTCCAGGCTGCTCCATCAGGTCTGCTCTGTCCATGTACCACAGGAGCCTTGGCTTGGGAAATGCCTTCCTCACGACACAGCTCACATTGGGCTGTGGGGCAACACAAGACTCTTGTTAGGTTACATATATATGTATTTATACACACACATAATTTATATGTATGTATCTTAGGTGAGCTTCTGACATTTCCCTCCTGGCTGCCAGCTTCCAAACTCTTGTATGGACAGTGCTTGTTCACTCACAGTCCTGCTCTGGAAGGAAGCACTTGCTTCCTCTTTACTGTGTTTCTTGCCCACTCTCCTCATTTTCCTGATTGCAGACACTGTTGTATGAGAGCCCAGGGACACCCCTGTTGCCCTGGGTGTCAGGACTCCAACCCCCTCCAGCTCTGTGCTGTGGCTGGAGAGATGTAGAGTGACCCCCACTCTCCTGCTCCCAGCTGCAAACACTCACATGGAAGAGCACTGAACTGGAAATGGGCACAACGTGTATGAGGAGAATGAGACACTTTCTGATTGCCATGTAAATCCTTTCTTCATTAGGCAGATAAAGAGACAGACAATTCCCATGAAAAAGCTGCCTAGCCCAATGATATGTTGAATATACAAAATTGGATACCTTTGTAGCAGACACAATATGTAAGAGACTTCCAGAAATCACAAGGAATTGGATACTTTAGACGTGGCAGTCCTATGGTTCTATGCCAACTGTTCCAAAGAACAATTTGTGTGATTGTGCTCAGTTTGATTTCTCAGCAAACAATAGATGGGCAGGACCTCAAAATCAAGGCTAGATGAAGGGTTGGGCACTAGCAGGGTGAGAAGTCTCATCCTCATGCAGCCCAGACGTTCCCAAGTATGTTTATTTATCAGGTTGTGACACTGCTAAGTACTAAACACTGTTATAAGAGAAATGGCCTTGTTCTTTTCAACAGAAGAAAAAAGCATGTGCTAAACCTCTCTTGCTGCCTCATTCAAAGGAAGTGGTTCCCACATTTAGTTGAAAGCAAGCTTGATGTATTGAAGCCAGCAGAAGTCAATCATTCAGTAGGAAGACTGAAAGTATCCAGCGGAAACTCTTTCCCTGCCATGGTAAACAGCACCTGAGCTTGTAGTGTAATTGCTTTCTCCTATTTTCCTCTTCATTAGTCCCTTATTTTCCAGGCACTTTTAGGTCATAATACTTTATAAAGTCTTCCTATGAAGAAATACAAATCCTCACTAGATTTAAGTGCTGTAAAAAAATGGCAGAAAAGAGAAGTAAAGAAGTTGGCGTTTGTTTGGAGGTGAAGAACAGAGGCTCTTGGGGGAGTTTCTATTTCTCAGTCCTGTGATAGCAGCACTCCTTGCTCTGTTCAACAGGACAATGCAGACAAAAGCCTGGACTAAACACCCAGAAACAGGTCACTAGGAAGGTTATACCAGTTTGCAGAACCCACTGACTCATGGATTGTGTGAAGTAGGTGGTTATGGATTGTACAAGGTTCTACCTGCCCACGAGCTCTGTTTCCAAGGAAAACTCTATTGATTTGAGATACTTGCAGATCAAAAGCTTTAACTTGGAGAGATGGAACAGGAAGCTAAGTACCATAGCAAATAGCCAGAGAGGCTAACTCATATGAGCTAGTGAGTCATATGAGCCATAAATATGTTTTATGCCAAGCATGACCAATGCAATTCAGCAGACTTTTAGGTTTTGCCATTATCAAAACTAAAACAGAGGCCTGCACAACAGAGAAGTCCTCAGCTAGCTCTGGTTTGTACTCACTGCTGTGCAGAGCAGAGGGCATGAGCACCTCAGTTAACTCAATGCCTTGCCTGCTGCCCTTGAGCTCAGTCACTTTGGAGGTTCCTCCTGTGCCTGATTCAGCCCAGCTTGCCTTGGCCCTGCTGGGTGGCATGGTGGCAGTTACAGGCATCACTCTTTGCTCCAAAATTGCTCACCTTCTGCAAGGTGCTGGCTGAGCCCTCCTGCAGGCTAATGAAGATCTCAGGATAAGCTGGAAAGCAAACATAAATGTATTAGTGAAATGGATACTGCAAATCACAGTAACTGCTTCTAATAGCACTCAACAGCCTTGTTTCATAAGAAGAGTGGAAATTAAATCCTACCTCCAGCCACACATCAAGCAAGATAAAAGCGTGCACAACTGCAATTTGAGGTCAAGGAAGTGGTTTACAAGCCTGTATCAGCAGCTGTTGCCACAGGATCCAGGATGCATTTCACCACCTACCAAAACTAGGCTTGGGTGGCTTTGCTGGGGAAACAAACTGAAACCATCCTGCAGTCACAGCTCTGGCAGCAGAGCCACCCTTGCCATGAAATCAAACACAAGTTGCTGGTTCCTTTGCATGCCTTCCAAAGGCATCTCCAAAGGCATTAGCCACCCCCCAAAATGTTGATGGGTTTTGAGTGCCAGCTACCCACATTCTGTTGCCTGGGCAGACGTGTGACAGTGTCCCCCACAGATGCTTCCTGCCTTGCCAGGAAACCCAGAGCCCACCCTCACAGCAGGGCACTGGTGACCACATCCACATGAAACAAAATACTGTTTTCTTCTGGTTTTGCAACATTTTGGTTTTGGGCACAGCTGTATATTTATATTTATAGTTGTATAAGTTAAAGCTATCAGGTAAGCCTCTCTAAACTACATTTCTAAATTGACCATTGGGATGCCTGTTTTGGAGCAATATTGACTGACTTGTTAAGTAAGGACTATTGAAACTGTGTTAATATATAACAAATCTCAAAAGCCTCAGATAAATTTTGCTTCTGGCCTTTTCTGAGACCCGAAACTGGATTGGAAACAAGTGGTCTCCCTGAATTACTTAGGAGACCCAAAATTCTTTCTCTTTCCAACATAAGCCACACTTTAATCTCTACCATTAATATAATTTTCTCTTTTTCTTACCATGATAATTGGTATAGGACCACCGCAGTTAATTACAATTCCCCCCTGAGGTGAACTATTCAGGTTTCCCTGTTGTTTTATATGGCTAATGCACCAAGGACTCTCCTGACTTTATTTTTAATTTCCATTTTTTTTCTGCCTGATGTTACTGATGGATTCTGTCTGGGCATGACTTACATTTAATTATCATGGCCTTATGGTTTTCTGGACTTTTGGTACTTTTTTTGAGTGGAATTTCCTGGTTTTTTTACTCTCTTCAGGGTTTTGGGTTTTTCTGCTTTTTAGAGGGTGGGGTGGGGCAGGGGTTATAGATTCTTCCTATCAGGAAATGAGTGTCCTAAGATTTCATTCTTTCTTCTTTGCCAAAACTATACAGATGGCAGTGGAGCTGGCAGAAGACAGACAGACTTTTTCAGATACAAGAGAAAGTCTGGTAAACTGGATCCTCTAATCACTGCAGAAGCTGGCTGGGAGGCTAAATGATGTCTGGTCTAGTACAGGCTCTTCCTTTTGTTTTTTTGAGGAAAATGGATATGCTTTTCCACACCTGTACTGAGCTCTGTCCTCTGCTTTCTCAGATGTGTTTGCTGGATGGCTGTTCTGGCAGGCAGCTCTCATGCATAAGTCTGAATGGTCTAATAGATCTTTTCCAATTAACATTTCAGACCCTGTTAACACTTTGACATTCATTTGTCTTGCTAGGATATTTACCAATGTTTTGGATCTAGCAGAAATTCAATATTTAGTTCAGTAGTTTCTGCTGCTGAGCTTTTAGTCTTACAAAAAGGAGAAATCAATATTTGGTAGAGTTAGACATGAAAAGGCCATACCTTTTCAGGGAAACTTGTATCTAAAAAACCTCTACTATGGGAGAGAAATATTTTAAAGTATTTCAATCCAAAAGCACCCTCTTAAAAAGAGCTATCTTGATTGAATATCTGTTTTTACCCAACATACCAAGACTCTCAACTTCCTTGCAGATCTTTTCATGCCTTCTCCATCCTCTCTGGTCCAATTTTGAGCCCCGCTTGGGCCACCTCGACCAACTAAAGTGAGGGAACACTACTTGGAGCCCCTCAGACTTGGCCTGTCTCTGCTGTGTTTAGCCCTGCCTGAAGTATTTTTCAGAGGGATCCTACATGAGGAGTTTCCCTCTCCTCCTCCTGTCCTTTACAGCTCAGTGCTGCAATAGCTGCCTGCCCTCCCTGCCCTATTTTTAAGCCACCCAGCCCGAGGGGTTTGACTGCGTGAGTTTGGGTGACAGGGGAGATGCTGTCTTACCAAGATGGGAAACCCCCCCAGGTTTCAACTGGCTTTTTTCCCTCCAGTGTCCTTGCGAATGGCCAGGATGACAGATATAACCAACATAAGGTGCTGTTGAATTTGTATGCATATACTATCTTCAGGTCCTGTCCCACCCATTTGAAGCTGCATCTGACTGCCAGAACACAAATACTCATTTCTTTATTCTTTGGTCAGCACAAGGAGCAAGAGAGGCGCTGCCATCTGAAAGGGCTCTTTGTCCCCAGATGTCACCTAGAGAGTGCTGGATTATTGTGGGCAGTGTCTCTGCCAGTGCTGCACAGGCCCTCTGCTCTTGGTCTCTCCCCCTGCTGCAGCACAAGAGAGTAAATGGAGAAAGGCTGGCATGGTGCAGGCATAAGTGGCATGACTTCAGCAAATGGTAACAGTAAATAAAGAGTGAGACAGGATGCAAAATAGTTATTTCACCTGCAAAATTGACATGAAAGGGCTAGGAGCACAAAAGCACACTTCTTCTGAGTGGTGGACTTTACTTACCTGGGGTCTGAGGCTCTCCTCAGCACCCACTGCAAACCTCAGGGCTCTCAGGGAGCCCCAGCTCTGCCCTTGGCACCCCCGTGAGAGAGGCTGGTGGCACAGCACCCTGCTCCAAAGCCAGCCAGCACTTACTGGGAAATGCAGACTGTTCACCAAGGGACACAGCTGCTCTCTCTGGTTTGCCTCTCTACCCTGCTGTACTGATATTCTGATGTGGGTTCATGCACAGCTAAGCTCACATCTCGCAGTAGTTCAGAGAAAAAGCCAAATAAAGCACCCTCTTAGTAAGAGACACGCAAACCTAGGCAAGAGCATCAGCAGTGATGGAAGAGAGAGAGTTCAAGTACATTGGCATCCTTGAACGTTTACCTTGAATATTTACCCAGGTAACACTGTTGCTATTTGAGAAATGTTGCTTTTAAAAAGTGTCTGAATCATGCAAACGCAAGAGGAGGTTGCAGATCACGAACTTCTATTGTTATTTCTTTTACATCAGTGAGTGACCAACAGCCCCCAGACACATTTTGCTTTTTTTCAGCTGCTCCCTGTTGAACCTTTCTTTGAATTCAGAGCATCAGCCTTGAATGGCCATGCCATCCTCAAGCTGTGGGCTTCCTTGGACAATCAGCTACAGTCAAGGGACTGTTGACAGGCCCAGTGTTTAATACTCATTTACTTCCAGAGCTTTGGAAATACGTTTTCCAGACCAGCTGATCTCTAAGGAGAAAATAAAGCCTGGTTTTCAAGTGGGCAGCAATTTTCTGATTCAGCTGTACCTTAGTAATAATAGAGCAGTAGCTAAGCCACTTGAAAGGGAACAAGGCAAGTAACTAAAGATGGAGAAGGCTTACAAAATAAAATACCAGCCCATATGTTTGCCACTCCTGACCAGTTTGAGACCCCCACCAGGACCCTCATTCCCAGAGCCAAAGCCTTTGGCAGCAGTTAAATGTCACATGCCTTTAAGGATGTGATTTTGCTACAGCTGTAGTCCCAAACTGCTTACTAAATTTTGGGCATGATTTCCTGACTGCAGACAGCATGGTCATTGGGACACAGAGATCTTGATGACCAGTGTGCTTCCCTGTATCCCACAAAATCCCAACATAAGCCTACACATCAGGGTAAGATTCTTGCCATGTGCATGTCTGTGAGACTGATATATGTGCAATGAATCTCCTATTTTTTCCTGCTAGAAATTGAAGGAATGAGCTCAAATTCTTCTAAGAACTCCAGGGTTATTTACTAACACTTTACATCATTGCAGATGAAAAAAAATGACAAGGTAAATATGTTTATATTTTAAAAAACCCAGTATCTGTCAAAAGTTATTGGTTTCAGAACCAGACAGGAGTGTCACCTTTGCAAGTGCAAGGCAGCAGGCAGTTGGCATGAGCCCCTTACCAAATACTCTCACAGTGGTGCTGCTCTTCTGGACTCTCTCTGGGTGGTACAGCACGTGGCAGGAAAAGACTCTGCCATCATCAGTGATTTTGGTGGGGAAAACCTTTAGGGAGTTGTTCAAACCCAGGAGGACTCTTTGCCCGTGCAGCAAGCTGCTGTTCCTGTACACAGCAGGACAGGAGGGCTCCTTGGTCACAAGTTCCTCTTTCCTCCCATTTTCACCCTGTGTACAGAAAAACCCACAAAATTGTGAAGTCTGGACACACACACAGAGAAATATTTTTGTAAGCCAGCTCTATTCCCACAATGAAAAGCTTCCCTTGCACATTGTGTAGTAAGTGGACATTTGCAACATCTAAGGTTTTTTTCCCAAATATATTCTGTCAGAACTTCAATACCAAGAGCAGTCATTATCTTGACAATAAAATATGGAATAAATAGCTGTGTCTTGTGAGTCCTGATCTCTGTAGCCTGCAGAGAGAGCAACAGAGGTGCTTTCTCACTGTACTAGTCTTTAAGTTATGCTGAACATCCCATACATATTAAATACCACTGAAATTTCAAGGAAAATTTTGCTCTTTTAGAATCTTAACTAGAAAAACCTGATAATAACAACTAAAATTTATCTCTCTTATTGTCTGTGTGGCAACCAGCCTTGTCCATAAGTACAGCCAGCATATCCTGGAGATCTGTGCCTCAATACATATATGCAAACTTTACTCTGTATGATGCATGGCAATGCACATATATCATTGTGCTGACCTCTGGGTTTTTTTTTTCCCTTTCCTCTGCTACTTTGTAGAGTGAACTGGCAAAGTAAAGGTAAGGGTGTTCCCTACAAAAGGATTTAAAATTTTAATATTAAGAATGACCTGTATAAGGGAGATCTAAATAGATAATGGAACCAGGACAGAAGGTTAAAAAACCTAAACTATTTGAAAGTCACCTTTAAGGAAATCCTCAACGTTACAGCTTCTCAGTGACAACTTATATAAATGAACAGGCAAAGCTCAAGGACGCTGCTCACTGATACTTATCTGTACACACTGAAATGAATGCTAAAATATTACATTAAAATATGCATATAAATATTTATCCAGAAGGTGAGATAAAGTACAAAAGTGCAGCAACCTTAATATCAGAGAGAAAATTGCTTAAAAATAGTTTTTCATGTGGTTAGCTTGATAACTGGCTTTGCATGTCTTCAGTAGCATCTGTGATTCAGAGGTTCACAAAACCAAAAACATTAGCTAGTACCTTTCTTTTCTAGTCAAAGCAGTCTGATATCTCACTATCCTTCACAGTAACCATATATTTCTCAGATACTAAAGCTTCACTACAGCTTTCCAACACAAGAAATATTTTTGTTTTGTTATACTAGCCACTTTCCCTAGACCTGCTCTCTAGTGCTCCTGAAAAATTCAAAGCAATTAAGATGGAATTTTTCCTCTTTGTTTCCATAACAGCTATATATATTATATATATATAAAAACATATATCAGCTATGGTTATATTTTTCCCCTTTATTATCACAGTCCAATATGACTGATAAATTTTTTAGCAGATTCTGCAGGCAGGACACAGTAGAGTAGAACATTTTCATTTCAATCTGCAAAAATACCCTGTAGTTCTTTCTGAACTTTATATTTGAGATGAAAAATACTTACCACTAGCCATTTCAAAGGATAAGTGGACAAATTTTCTGAGGTCGCGTCCTCAAGGCATGGAATTTCTAAAGTCTGCTTTAGCCACACTTTCTTCAGGTAGTGCCTCTCCTCTTTTACCATTGGAACAACAACAAAACCCAAGAAGGAAAATCAGAAACATGATGTTCATTGTGCTTTGAAAACCAATGCAGACTAGTCTTCTATTCAAGGAACAGGCACTTTTTGGTTTAGAAGGGAACTGTAATTTTCAACCATTAGCCCCAGACACATTTTTAAAGTGAAAGCCCTGCATCTGATTCTAGTTGCAGTTTCATGACTCAATTCACAGAATTACCCGAATTTTTTGGCAATTCTTAAAAAAGCTTTTCTTAACTGAAGGATCACGATGTCTCCTTTTGGAGCTGAGAATAATTTGAAGCCTCAATTTTTATCTTACAATCTTTTTTTCCTGTGGCAATAAACCTTCACATCAATTTTGTGCACCTCTATTTCCTTTTCTCTGAAGATATCTGCAGACTTTCTTTTCACTAAGCAAGCTATTCAGCATGTCAGTTAGGTTAAGATTAACCCTGTTTTTCAGTGTAAGTGCTTCTTTTGTTATTCTCCAACCTTCCCACTGCCACAAAACTTGTCACTCTTTCCCTTCTCGTCCATTTCAAAAGCCATTTCACCACCTCCTACCCTACCCATTCCCAATCCAGGGCTCCATGCAGCTGTGGAGGCTGGGCAGAGTGAACAGTGCACTGCTGTGGTCCAGATGTTGGGTCTGTGAGTGTGCATGTGTGTATTTGAGCAGGAAGAGCAGCGCTGGTGGGTGGGAGATGCTGTGAGTGCCATGGCCAGCACTGACCTCTCTGACCCTCGTGGCACATCCTGCCATCCTCCCTGCCCTCAGACCTGCCTTCCCTCTCCCTTGGAGGCAAAGCACCAGCACACACACAGGGAAGCCCCTCAGCTCTGCTCCCCCGGTAGCTGGCTTGCATGTTGAGATAGAACAGACATGTATTTCATTTATTTCTGATCTTGAGGGGAGTGAGAATATTCAGCTGTCCCAGACTGCCACGTTTTTTGTCAGTGGGGACTTTCTGGTGGCTGTAACTTTCTCTGTACCTGGCACCCAAGCACAGAGCAGTGGTGCCAGCACGCAGCCTGTGCCACAGAGATGTGAAGAAAGGCAGTGCCCTGAGCTGTACCTAGGAGAGCCAGCAGCAGAAGCAGCTTCCCTCCACTGTCCCTGAGAGTGAAGAACATCAGGAGCCAGCTCTTGCAGCAGGACACAGAGTACAGAATCCCTAACAAGGCTGGACAGTGCAGAGAGGATAATGAAAGGACAAAGCAAGTAAATCTATAGTTTCTCCAGGAACAAAACTGTACAGAAGATTTTGCTGGGACAAACCACCATGCAAAAGTGCTGTGCAGAATACAACAAGCGTGGAGATGAGTAGTGACCCCAGGAGTCCAGCCTGGAAACAGCTTCTGCCTACTCTCACATGTCCCAGCTGCTTGCTTTCCCCTCCCATCTCCATAGACAGCCTGTTGGCTAAGGTCCTCTGTGTCTGTCTGTCTGTCTGCCCCATGAAGGCCTGCTGCTCTGAGAGCTTTCTACAAGCTGAGTGCATCTGGATTCACTTCACTTGTATGTAAATTAAAACTGTACTTGATCATGGACTATCACCTTTATCATCCCACTCATAGACTGGAGTAAGATTTTTTTGCCATTTTTGAGTCAAAGTGGTTTATTGCAAAAGATCTGGTTACCCTAAAACACAAACCTGTGAAAGGTAGCAAAGTCAATTTTTAGTTCTCTCTAGCAAGCAGTCGTCAGTAGCACAGCTTGCTACATCTTGTAGTTACTGAGAAAAGCCACAATGATGGTGATATGAACAAGGACTGCCCACGCTGTAGACAGCCATAACAGCATTGAAACCTGTCTGTATCAACCAAGGGCCAGAGAAAAGAGGCGATGCCTGATTAGCACAGTTACTGTACTAAGGAAGAGACAGAGAAACTTTGCATGAAGAACAGAAAGTGTGGGAGAGTTTCACAGGGTTACCAGCACAGTTTGTACCTCACTGCACTCCCCTTGATCCCTCTGCCCTGTGGAGCACAGGGAAATTCCAAAAGGGTAGCCTACCACAACGCACCCCCATACAGTGGGTAGAGTGGCAGTCTCAGCTTTGGCACAATTATTCAGTGTGTACTGTTTAAACACACCCATCCATGCTCCGTGGGCTGGGCAGAGGTGCTGGCTCTCACTCTGCCTCTGCGAGCTCATCAGGGCAGGCAGGTGCTGCAGGGCTGCCCCAGAAGTGTCTCCAGGATAACAGCACCAAAATGCATGGAGCCATTGCCATGCAGGGGCCATCAGTGTTAAACATCCCTGAGTATGGGTCTTGCAGGACCTCCTCTTGCTGCAGGGGCAACAGGGCCCAGCGTGGGGACTACCAGCCTGGCCTTGTGGTGTAGGGCAGTGGGAGCACACCAAAATACCCCTAAAATAACCTGCACCACCCTGCTCCTAACTCTTGCATGTCTGCTGTATCTACAGCCCTGGGCACAAGCAGAGTGAGCACGTTGGCCCTGCAGCTCTGAAATTAAACAGTGCCAGGTTTGTTGTATTTGCTTTAATCCTCCTTGAGTTAGCAGAAACCTGGGTCAGAAAGAGGTTCTGGGGTCATCAACCCAGTTCCCCATGTGCACAACAACAAGCTTGCTCAACACCCCTGCCAAGTTCCATCTTCACAGCATTTTGGGCTTTTGCCCTCACTGCTGACATTAAATAGCTGTTCCCAAAGTTGCAACACTGACAGTTGTCACTGTTGTTTAAGTTGTTGTCAAATCCATTCTCCTCAGATTTAAATAAATTTGTTCCTTTGCCAGGATAATTTAAATATCCTCCCTGGAGTTCACCCTCTCCCCTGAGGCTTACTTACTGAGAGCAGCCATGCTGCTTTCCAGCTTCCTTTGGCCTGACAGAAGCATCCAAATCTCCATTGCTGTGATTCTCCTAAGCAATTCCCTGCTTACTCCAGGATGAGGAGACACATATCCTTCCATGGGGCTAACACCAGCATGCCCTGCAGATGCCAGCCCTCAGCCTCAATCAGACAAGGGTGTTTTCTCTTTCTGCTGCCCAGTGCTGCAAGCCCACAGCAGCAGCACAGCATGGTTTGGAAATCCAACATCCTTAGTCCCACCATATCCTGAGCTGCTCATCCAGTCTTCTCCACAACGTTTCTCCAAAATGAAAATGCAACAACTGCCCACCTCACCACCTTTTTTAACTTTACTATCTGACTTTTTATTCCACCAAACAAATAAGGTTTCCTAATCACGAGATAAAACAGCTAAAGAGTGCCTGGTAAATAGGAAACTGTATAAGCAACATTCACTGTAAATCCCAAACAAGTCACCATCACCAACCAAGAAGTGTTCATCTATCCTGATATTTCCCCCCATCCCATCAGGAAACAGCAAATTCTCATTCATAATCACTTACCTTCTGCCTTGACAGTAAGCTGAATTTTTGCAGCCTTTGTCCCATATGGGTAAGTAGCAAAAGTGCATTCATACTGCCCACTGAGGGACATGGTAACATTTTCCAGATGCAGAGCCCACCAATTGCATTCAGACGTGGCATTTGGCTTGGTGGAACACAAGGACCCTGTGCCATCCCCAGTGCAGCACCTCCTTGTGCTGAAGAACACTGAAAAGCTGTAAGGAGCCTCAGGAAACGTGAAGTAATGGGTGCCATAGGTGGGGTGATGCACAGCTATTTTGGTAGATGGGCTGCCATCAGTCTTGGTCCACTGTGTCTGGATGATGTGGGTGGTGTGCAGTTTTGGAAACATGCACACCAGGGTCACGTCAGTACCTGGCAGAGCATGGACCACTTCTGTCTGGGTAATCACATCTGCAGTCTGGCCTGAAAAACAAACAGGATAATTTTCAGTGCAAGTAATGTTTAAACAAAGCTTTTCCTAGTCCATCTTTGATTTGGAGCCTTAGCCACAGATAACTATGAAGACCCTACAACTGTAACCACAGGCTTCCCAGCAAGACAGCAAATCTCCACCAGTACAGACTGCAAAGAGAAAACTGTGAGAGCAAATGCATGCGTGTCTGAAAGAGGCTGGGGAGGTCCTGTCACACTTTTGGGAAAGAAATGAGAGCTCTGAGGGCCTCTGCAAAAATGAAAATCTTTCAAGTAATATAAATAAAGCAGAAGCTGGGTGCAGTTATTCCCCAGTTCTTTTTGCAAGAACAAATGAGCTATCCCCTCTGGCTAATTCCTTGCACCATCCCCCTGCCCATTGCCTTTGTGGCTTCAGCAGAGAAAGCTCTTCTCCCTGTTATTAAACAGCTCGTGCATGTCCTAAAGGAGTGCCTGTCTCAGTGTCAGAGAGAGCTGCTCTGCTGTGTGTGGCTTCTTCCTCAATTAATTTCATAAAGCAGGTGGCAGTCCTTAGTGTGCCATATAAAGGAGTAATGGATCGATGAAATGAAGGGGCTTTCAGCAGGAGCCTGTACCACTTGGTTTAGCTGTTGTTGTAGTAGAATTGATTTATATCCTTTTCTCCCTCCTATGAGTAGGAGTCTTGCAGTCCCCAAACCCCTGAATGCAGGGCACTGACAAACTCAAGGAGATGAAGAATTTATGGAGGGGGTTGTTGCAGTGAGACGAGTAATCAATCACTCTCATGGAGCTGTACACAAAAAGTCCCGTTTCTAAAAGGACATGTGGGTCCACAGAAACAAAATGAGTTTTGCAGTTGTCCTCAGGTACAGACTTGTTGCCCCTCATTTTCATTCTGTTTTATCCTCCCTGTGTATCGTAACATCCCTGTATGTTTGCTTTGGGAATTTGCCCTGCAGTCCTGCCAGCTCACCTCCTTTACTTGAAGAAGCTGGGTACCAATTCCTTTGCTATGACATTTGCTCTGCTGTGTGGCACATGGCTCCAATTTGGTACCTGTCCACTGAAGGGTGACATGGACACCTGGAGATTAGATGTGTGGAGAACAAAGCTACTGAATGGCCATGGCCAGCATTAACCTCTGCTGTTTCATTGCTGCACATGTTCAGCTCATCTTTTATTCTAAAAGATGCGATGATGTAAGAGGGTAAATAAAAATAAGCCTGAATGACAAGTCTGACAGCCTTGTGCTGTGAGAAAAATTACTAAAATTATTTTTGTTAGTCTAAGGAGCTTATTCTAGGAAATGCTCTCTGATTCCACCACAAGTTTTGCATCAGTAAAAGTTAAGGAAAGAGCAATTAAGAATGTTGCAATCAGACTATCAAGCAAAAGACACAGCATTTTTTCTCTTATAGTCATGCTGATGCTGCCTTAGGTCAAAGGATTATATAAAGAATGCCTATGAAGAACCACTTGAGTAATTTACATTGAGTTAAAATGTTATATATGTAGAAATATAATTTTAATTAGCATTATTTCTTAGTAGCCTAGCACATTAGATTATTTTAACTGAAAACATTTTGTGCAAAATGTTCTTAACTTTTTGCTAGCATCCAAATATAAGTAATCTCATTTTATGTCAACTTTATTTTTCAAAATCTAATAGTGTCCATTAGTGCATACCTGTGGTCCAACTGTAATTTCTTAGAGTATCTCCCAGACATTTAGGTGTCTGATTTCCACAAAGGGCACAGAGGCCTCCACTCTCACCTTTGGGTGATTTCAGTGAGGATTTCATCTTCAGGGGAAAAAAAACCCAGTTCCTATTTTTCTGTAACTACTATTTATTTCTTACGTGTGCGTGTTTTCAGGCTTCTATTCCTTTCTTTGCACTTAGGATTTTCTATTTTCTATGAATACACATGTGAATTTTTTTTTTAGGAACCAGTTTGCCTCAGTGATGTAGAAAAAAGAACAGCCTATTGCAGATTGTAAGATATCCATATATTTGATTAGCATAATCCATGCTAGTCAAATACACACAGTTTTTCCCTTCTTAACTGGAAAATTTTGTATCCTACAAAATTCTGGTAATAAGTATTCCTGTATTTATCATGGTCAGAATTTTGAAGGGGTGGGGGCTTGTGATCATACTTTTTCTTGGTTTTTCTCAGATTGCTTTTGGCTTAAATTCCCTCTGACAAAGATGCAGCCCTCCTTAGTCAACTTTTCTGAGTGTTTTACTTGAATGACAAACTTGTTTCTCCAGACATTAGCACATGTGGCTAGGTGGAGAAGGGGAAGGGAAGAATCTGTTTAAGGGGTTGCACCTGTACAATTTAGCCTTGCCTTGAAGTGTTTCAATTCTTTCTCTCTCTGCATACACAGGTATGTAAGACAGAGAGGTATTTTTTTATTTTCCCATTGAAAGCAGTTTTCCTTTTGGGCCATTTGAGAGGAGCACACATTGCCCTAACTTCAAGTGAGCTCATTCCAGTGATTATTCTGGCAGGTTAGGCATATTGCATTAAGTAATCTGCTACTCAGCACAAGCCATTTACTCCTTACTAGCTGCACATTCTAACCAGGGTTATTAGAGAGTTGTCAGGAAATGGAAAACCATCCCCAGTAGCTACAGCTCTCCCGAGTGAGATCCACTAATCCCCTCATCACCCTCCACCCTAAACTGAGTCAAGGTGACACTCTTACCTGTGACACTGGGCACTGAGAGCAAGCAAAGGAGAGAGAAGAGCCACCTTGCTTTCATCTTCAGCTGATGAAGTTCTGGTGACTACGTAGCTCTCTTGGTGCTCTCTCAGCAAAGGAAGTTGAAGTGGCCTGCCCCGTGCAGCCAGGCAGATGTGCAGCACAGTCACTCAGCATGACTTCAAAGAAATGCTTCATTAAACTGAAAGCCTCAGTTTCCTGTCACGGTGATAAAATAAGTACATCTTGTGAAAGCTTTAAGATACAAACATTACCTACATTTTAGCCCATGTTGAAAATTAATTATTTTTCCTTTGTCTTTTCAGATTAACTCAGGGTAAGCAGTTTACTGGTTTACATACTATCAAAAACATGCCAAGTACCTAAGTTTGAATATATAACTTTTGGGGATCTGGTTTAAGGGTAATTATGGTGGTGCCAGGCTAGCTGTTGGAATTGTTCTTGAAGGTTTCTTCCAACCCTGATGATTCTGTATGTTCTGTGTACTATATGGTAGCTAGCATACAAAAAAGCTGATTTTCTTTCTTCATTTCCTTCATGTGCTAGTCTCACATGTACTATTTCTATACTCTCTACTCAGTATCTTTAAAAAACACAGCAAAACATCAAAAACAATCTCCAGAAATTAAAACAGATTGAAGTAAGATTTTCTACATTCACTTTTCCCCCTCCTTTTTCTTCCTAAGAAGAGCAGGAATTATTTTCCACAGTTTGATGAATTCCAATATCGCATGTGACAATGTTCCTTGGTGTGGTTAATCCCTGTAGTGTCCTTCAGCTGTCAGTTTTGGTAATAGCAGCACTCTCAGGTGGAGGAGCATGGTTCCTGGCAGTCCTGTCACCTGTCTTTATTGCAGGTCACCTGTACATCCTTCTGGGCTGTCCTGGAATTTCCAGGACAGACTGCATTTCCATGAGCTAGGCACACACCTGCCAGCAAAGCATCTCATTGCAGGCAGGTCATGCAAATTTGCTGCTGTTGGCAGCTTTTCAGACAGAAACAGGTTTGAGGTCTTGCTTATCACGCTTCTTTCCCCCAAGCCAGAAAGAGGAGGGCAGGACAGCTCATGTACACAGCGTGGATGTGTCATGTGCTGGCTCCTCACAGTGTGGATGGTTGGCAGTATGGATGGGTAGGACACTTGCTGTCCTGATAGCTCCATCCTCAGGGGCCCAAGGACAACAACCCACCATTTGGACTTTGGGACAGAGCCTGTTACAGCCCATTCCTCAGGGAAGAGAAAGTGTCACAGTCCCTTAAACAGGCACCTCTCTCTGCCAGCAGTGCCCTCCCTCAGGAGGGAGTCCTTGCCTGAGCTGAGTCCTGACATGTCCTTTCCTGACTGCCAACTTTTGCTAACCACGGAGCTCCCCATACCTCCAGCATGCAAGGTACAAATTAAAGGTGAAAGAGAAAGACTCTCTGGTCATTTTCCTATTTGGCGACCTGCCAGGTGCTAACAACCTCTATGCCACTTCCCTAATTTGTGCATATGCAAACTTTTGGTGTCACATTTAAATAGGCTCCATCTGGAGCTAGTAGTGCTGGCAGGGCTACGTCAGGACTCCACATGTCTTGGAGAATAAATGCTGCTGCACAGTCCTTTTTTTGTTTGCTTTGCTCTTCTACCTGAGGAAATGCACTAAGAGCACTTGTAGCAAATGCACTGGATGCCCAGTTTACTGCTAAAGGAATTTTCCCTGGGGATGAAATCTCTGCTTGTCACTCAAAAACCTGACAGAGAAAGATCTGTCCCAGAAGTCCTGAAGCTGAGGATAAACAGAATATTCAAGGCATTGTCATTAGCAGCCACAGAAGGGAGTAAAAATACTAAAGAGATGTGTTCTGGTTTCCACTTCAGAGCAAAGACCGCAAAGAGCACAGAGATTACCTGCAGATACTAGAGTCCAAGAAAGTCTCACTTCAGTCTAAAACTTGGATTTTCATTTATGATTGCAGTTACCTTAGCTTCTCTGCTGATCAGATCATGTAAGCTTTGTATCATGAGAGAATGTACCATTTTGTCTTAAATGAGCTTTTTTATTGATCTGAAACACACATCACAGATTGACAAGACAGCCCAAGTGCCGTGTGGCACATTCAAGAGACAAAGAAATCCCTGAGCAGCTTGTTTGAGTTGCTAGATCACTGTCTCTTGTCCTTAGAATTTGTTTCCCCCCCTAAAATAACATCCTAAAAATATACTGCTGCCATTTTCATTGTGTTGGCTGAATGCAGCCACCCAGCTCTGTTGCTGTGCTCGGTGATTAAAGGCAAACAAGAAAGAAACCTCCCAGCATGATGGAGTTTTGTTCCATTCAGAGCTGGGTTTTGCCCCAATTCCTACCTTAAGCCCAGATCCTGAAATAGCCACCCTGCTGCTGACATTCATGTGCATGAGCAGCATAGTTCTGCCTCTGCAAATGACAGCAAGCCCCATTCTGGGACATGCCACTTACCTCACCTACTGGCAGGGAGACAGCTCTTCCCTGGAGCCAGACTTGAGATCCAGCTCACAGCAAATTGCTATGAGAGTTTCTTCCCCCACTACCCCTTCCCTGGAAAGTTACTTACAGGCAGCTCTGCAAATGCCACAGCTGGATGTTACACACCAAGTTATGGATGGCCAGGATGCAAGGAGGTCCTGAAACATATCCAGGGAGAGTGGACCTCATTGGTAGCTGGAGGGAGGACTCATCTGTGTTCGGCTTGTGCTTGGTGGGGAAGCTACAGGGATGATTGTCTCAGAGCTGGGATGTGCAGGTTTTTCCTGCCATCCCAGAGACACCCAGAAATTGCTGCAAGGCTGGGAGGTTTCAGAGGAGAAGAAGCTGTGCCCGAGAAAGTGACACACCTTGTCAGTGGATATGTGAACCACAGTGTTCTCTTTTAGGCTGGACAAGCATTTGACCTGGTTGATAGTCCCTGGTGTCCCAGGTGATGTCAGGAACAGATGGGCTCTGAATATCATTGAGGATGGGTCCCTGTCCCACTGCACAGGGACATCTCATGCAGCGTTAATTTTTTACCATTCCTGTGGGAGTAGAGAGTGGCAGTGGGAGATCCTTTAATTATTTTCTGCAGATCTGTTCACCACTGGAGGAAGTATTTTAAATGCTACAAATGACTCTTTCCATGGCAATCACCCTATTATGTGTCATGCTCAAAAAACCTTCCACTGCAATATAATTTCTTCTGCTTCAATTACAGTCAGCTGTACCTAAGGAGGAAGCACAGCTACAGTCAGTCCCACAGAAAAAGAAATCTTGAACTCCAGAGACAAATTCAATTATTCACAAAGAGAGCCTTTTTAGAAATGCTAGTGCACGAGCCGTTCCTGCCAGAGGCGAGGATGATTACCCTTGCAGACTGGTGTCCTCTAAACATTGCTTAAAGAAAGCACAGGTCCCTGGTGGAAAAGAGAGGGAGACTTTGAAGCAGGAATTTCATTAAAGACTAAACTAACCTTTCAGGTTCGCTTGGCACTTGGCACAGAAACTCCCACTTCATCACTGTGTTTTGGTTTTGAACTTCTTTGAAACCTGCACTAATGACTCCACAGCCAGCGAGCCCCTTTGACCACAGCACCTCACAGGGGCTTGGATGAGTGGGTGGCATGGGCTGGGGGGACAGCTTTGCAGGGGACAGGACGCTGAGTTGGCAGTGGGACACCCACTGGGCTTTTCTGTCACCCCTTCCCACCCCTAGCTCTGGTGCCTCTCTCCTGCTCACAGCACTGCCTCTTCTGCATGTGGGGAACGAGAGGAAAGGGGGTTTCTTCCTCTGCTTGCTCCTTGTACTCCTCCTCCTCCCTCACAGCTGCATGTGCACACCTACACTCTTTGTAGGACACAATCCAGCCCCACTTCCAGCATGGCAAGGCACACACTTCCCTCTCACCACCAGCCTCTCCATCTGAAAAGTGTTTAGTGCTCTGCATGAATTTTTTGTTCCCTATTAGCTCACTGACAGGTCAGAGTACAGGAGAAGACCCGGAACAGCTCAGCCCTAGGTGCCTTCCTCCTTCAGCTTTCTAATTACTTTTTCTAATTAGAAGGCCTAACTTACAGGTCATGTTTCAGAGTAAGAGAGCATATGTTTTGGGGACAAATGGAGGAGAATGAGCTCCCTCACCTTCTCTGTCATTCCAGCCACAGGTGCCTGTGGTCCTCTGCTCCCATTTAATGCCATTTCTGACTACGGGTGTTCTGTTGGGGTAAGCTAGAGCATTTTGTTGTGCAAAATGCAAGTTGTTGAAAAAGCAGAGTATAAAAAAATGCAACCAATGAGCAAAACAAAACAAATGACAGGCACATTGACCCAACAATTACACACGAATGAAATACCACCGTGTGAAAGCCATCTGGGTATTTCCATTAAAATTAAAGACTGTACACAGCCATTACTTTTAAAATGAAAAGGAAGGCACACTTGAGACCAGCCCTGCTTTCTTTGGTACTTTCTCTTTTCTAGATACAGAAGAAGCTGTGTTTCCCCACTGTCTTCAACAACATCAGCTAAAGACTCTTCTTTTGTACATCTCATCTTCCAGGTTTTGTAAGAAAATGTTTCAAAGTAGATTAAGAACTGTGTAACAAAATGTACTGGCACCCATAGCTTTGAAAAAAGCATTTGTTTGGAAAGGATAACCCACTGCCAGTGCTGGGAAACAGCTGCTCATGTGAGGCTACAAGGTTAAGATTCCACTGAAAGCTCCCAGAAGGGCCGTGTCATCCCCTGGTCACTTCGGCAGCAGCTTCAGAGACTTGGAGCAGCTTTTGTGAATCACTCCAGCAAGAGGAGCTTGCTTGTGAAAGGACTTTTCTCAGACACAGCTTGTGGGGCTTTATTTTGTGTGGTGCATGACAGAGGGAGTTAATAAGACAAGCAACAGACCACTTGGTCAGAACTGAAAAGTTTAAGTTCACTTCTGAAGTGATATAAGCCTAGACAGGCTGTACAGCTCATTTCACCATGCAGATTATCTCCAATGGACTGTGTTCCCCAACTAATTTAAATCCATCCATACTATTGTATAGAAATA